TGTGGGGTCCTGGTGTTGTCAGCATCTTCCTCCTCCTGGTCAGACATGGCAGCAGGTAGGAGTTGGGGGGCTGTGGTGTGGTTGGGGGGCAGCATGTGTTTTGGTGTGGAGCGGTGGCCATGAAATGCTGGTTTAAACGTGTGTGTGATTAAAACCCTGATGCCTGCAGGCCTCTCTGTGTCTGTCTTCAGTGGTTTTCTATGTTGGTGCTCAGGTAGCAGCTGAAAGCGGCTGCTGTTGGTATCAGGGAGCTGCAGGGTGTCTGGAGGGGCTCTGTGAGGCCGGTGCTGTCCTTCTGGTGGTGGAGCGTGGCCCTGGCACGCCTGCCTGGTGCTGGCAGGGCTTGGAGGTGGCTGTGTCCTGCTGGGGACCGCTGGGCAGGTCGGGCAGAAGGCCAGGCTGGGCTGTGCTGTCACCGCCTGCACCGCTCCCCGGGGTCGAGCGCCGTGCTGTGTCGCGTGAAGCTGTGTGGGTTTTATCTGTGGCGTCTTTGGCTGGTTCCAGCTCTGTCAACTGCTCTGGACTTGACTTTAAGGAAGGCTTTAATTGACAATGAGAATCTGTAGTTTTGACTTGGTTTTTCTTTCCTGTATATAGCAATGGTTTGCTTTAAAAAATGGTGAGCGATCTCTTTGTTGTTGCGAGCAGATAAGAAGGTGTAAACAAGCCCTCCCTGCCCCAAACCCCACCCTGCATCGGACTGACCTAGAACATGGCACTTTCTGTTGACTGCGCCGCTCTGGCTGGAGGAAAAGAGGATGGTGGCTGAAATGCTGGAAGGGGAATTGCAGGGGGCGGGGGGAAAACTGGTCACCCTTTGGGGTGGAGGGGAAGGGCTCGAACCGCCTCTTGCCCAGCTCCTGAGCCAGCCCCTGGAAACACGGGGTTAAAATATCAGCTGGGTACACTGTGGAAACAGCCTCGTCCCTCCGGCAAAACCCTCAGTGGGTTGCTTACTGGTTAAAAGGAGGAGGACAAACTCCTCCCATTTCTTTTTTTAACTGCAGACTTTAAGTTGGACTGGAGCAAAAAAAATCCTCTCAAACTGGATGCTTTTCTATGTAAGGTTTTGAAATGCTAGAGTTATTTGAGGCAATTCTTCAGCTGAGTATTTTGTGATGGGATGTAACTGCGCCGAGGTCAAGACGGGCCGCGGCGCTCGCTGGGGAAGGTCTCCTAAGGGCCGCCCGGGAATGCGCTCTGTTTACCAACTGCTCCACATGGGAAAAACACAGCTTTCATTCCAAAAGCCATGGAAAACTTCTGCTGATTAAATCCACGCCCTCTCTCTGGGGAGGAAAACATAATAAACACTACCGTCTCATCATCCTTTTATGCGTCGTATGTTAATCACCCAGCAAGGGCTCCTGGCTTTTCCCTGTTCGCGTTCGCCCTGTAACTGCGGGGAGGAGTTCTGCTTTGTCTATAAAAAGCTGCACTTTGGAGAACATCATAAACAGAACCAAATTTAGGAGTCCCTCGCCCATCGTCTGCCGAGAGAGAAGTCAGAGAGCAACCATGCTTGGGATTGGAAAGAAAGTCGCCGAGGAAGCAATGCAACAAGCTGAAAACGCTGCACAGGTGGCAGGTAAATACAAATCCATGCTTCTCCTCATCGTGCGTCCTTCTGGTGTTAAAGATACGTGCTCTGCTCCCAGCCCCAGCAGGCTTTTGTCCAGCAGCTTGGAGCAAAGCACTCGTATGCATAAACTCTACTTTATAGCCATTCTTCTCCAGAGCATGGTCAGTATGTCTTGTAAGCTTAAAACCACCTAATGCTATAGTAAAGGAGAGACCAATATTAACTCTTAGTTTCCCACAACTCTCTCTCTCTCTGGCTCTTACTGTGAGGGTGTCTAGATGATGCATGGAAGAGACAAGAGGACAGCTGAGAGGGGAGATGAGGCTGAAGATATACTCAGCCTTGCCTCCCCTCTCAGCTATAGGCATAAACAAAAATACATATATACCAAGTTATATCTATAAACACAAGCGGTCATGGTGTAATTATGTGCACTTGGAACAGTGTGATCAGTTCCTTGAAGCCCTCTGAAGTCCTCCATCTGCTCAGAGCCACATGAGCACCTGCTGTTCGGGTAGCTCCCATCCGCTGCTAGCGCTCCAGCCCAACCGATAAAGCCTAAGCGTAGTTGCAGGGACTCTGTGCCCTTGAGGTTCGCTGCTGCTGAGGCACTCTGAGAATGTGTCCTGAGTTTCAATGACGTGCCGTTTAGGTGAGCTATTGCTAATGAAGCTTTAACACAAACAGAGATTTTCTTAACTGATGCGATTCCTGAAACATCTGTGTGTGCTTAGTATAATATATGCAGAGTTGAGACTGTGTGTTCCCTATTTCTTTACACAACTTCTAGCTTAACTCTTGAAACCAGGTGTTTTGTCAGTCACCTCAAACTCGGTAGAAACGTTTCTTGTGGGACTTCCACTGGGTACCTACTTGCCTTTTTTAATATGTTCCGCTCTTTCCTGATGAGCAACTCCTCCAGGCCATGCTTGATGTGGAAAGCCTTCAAGTGGAAAGCCTTCTCCGTATTTACTATTATCCTTGGTTCAGGTTGCTGGAAAGACAAAAGAATCCAAATCGCGCACCCACTGCTTCCCTTCCCAAAGACTCTTGGGTGGGTTCTTAAATTAACTATTTCTATGCTGAAGCATGGAGGAAAACAAAACAGGCCTTAAGCAGTTGTAGGTAACCACTTTGTTTGAAACAAAGGGGAAAAAAAGATTTCTGTTTGCGTTGCACAGGAGCCCTAGAAATGTATGTTTTATGGAGTTTTTAATACTCCTTTTTTATGTTAGGGAACAATAGCTATTGTTTCCTATGCTAGAAGACTGATGTGTGGGTTCTAGAGGTGGCTTTTGTTGGGTTGAAAGAGCAGAGTAGTCTTCTCAGTGCTCAGGTGTCTGGACTAAGAGTCCACAAACTTTGCCAGCTGAGTTGTAGCAGCAGCAGTCCTTCCCCTTTATCCCCAAGCGCTTCACGCTGACCCAGTTCTGCAGCCGCCAGCAGCCGGGAGGCCCGTGCGCGCCACCAGGCACGCAGCTTCCACCTCTCCCGCTTGTGCTGGGACCTGAAACACCAACCGAGATTGCAGGCGCTAGCCTTGCTCCTGCCATCCCTGGATGCCGACGGGGGTGTGAGCTTTGGGGTCTCTTTCCAAGGGTTACAGTAAGCGAGTAGGAGGCTTTCCACTTACTCCACTGAGTGCTGCCTATAGGATTTGCAGATTAGTAAATGAACGCCTGTGACTGCGCTTCCGGTATTGCACACAGCCCTGGCAGTAGTATAAACTGAGGCATCCTCTGAATCCCCATTTAAATTTAAAACAATGGAGGGGCTTATGCCAGTTTTTAAACTAGAGCAAGACTGTTCAACCAGTGATCTGCAATTGTTAATTATACAGTCGCTGAACTACTTCTGTTCTGCCTGCGTATGCCCTGAGGCTTCGTCCCATGAGCCACTGCTACGTTGAGAGTGGCACAACTGGTCTTTGCGAGTGTCTAAAATTAGCACCTATCCCGAGCTCCAGAAAGGCCAGGGAGCCTCGGCGTCCTACAGCAATAGGAATGGCATTTTCCTTACCCATGCCTTGTGATCAGCGTATGCCATTCACCATTTAGTAAACTGCATCAAAAGATGATGCATGATGACCACCAGTGCACCTTCTAAGCTGTAACAAGTGTCTTAGAAAGCCAGGGTGAGACAGGCCACTGGTTTACGAAACAGCCCTTATGAAACGGCTATTGTTGAAAAGCCATTCAGTGCAAGCCTGGGGGACTTTGAAGTTTTAGACACTCCCAGTCCATTTAAACGCTGTCCTCCTTCAGCGTTTGTCACTTATGCAATGCTCGCATCCTGTTTCATGAGTAGCTGGCCATCCGGTACGTTCAGCCAGGCCACCCTTCAGTGGCCGTCGTGCAGAGCAGACGGTTTTAAAAAGGTACCAACTAGAGGCAGGGCGAGTAAAACAAATTCAGGTTCAACTGAAGGCGCTTTACCCACATTTTTCTTTAACTAGCTCTTGCAAGCAAGGCTTCCCTGATCACAGCTATTGGAGGTGGATCACCCAAGTATTAGTATTTTCTAGGGCTGCAGCTCCTCTACTTTAAGACAGGTTTATATTTTGCTTTTCATGCCATCACTATGTCTCCTCTGCTGAACACTTTCTCAATTCCTTTACAGCTACTTTGGTCTCTTAAGGAATAAATCTTTTACTTTTTCTGGCTAAAAGAGAAAATATTAGACTGAACACTAAGTTTCCATGAGCTAGTCCCAGCATGCCACTTCTAGGCAGCAAGTGGCAAGCTTAATGCAGCTGGTGGGAGACTCTTTGCCAGGAAAGCTGCCCAAGATGGGTCTCTGCAGACCCTGTCTGATTTCAGTAAAAGGAAAGGTCGCTGCACCTGATTCTCCATTAGGGTTTGTTTCCTGTTACTGTTAGTGACAAATAACTTCCATAGTCTTAGTCTGTACCAAGCTACATGGTACACTGGGGAACGGCAACCAAACTCTTAATAGCATCTCTCTTCCACTGCATCAAAGTAGCCATCCTTAAGGAATAATTTTTCATCTTCTCGTTCTGAAGCGTTTAGAGAACCTTCCTGAAATGTGATTACTGAGTTTGGGGAAGGGCAAAGACCACTTATTTACCCTTCTTTTTCTAATTCCAGTTAACACAGCAGGCCAGACTGTGCAGCAAGTAGTGGAACAGGCGAAGGATGCTGGTCAGAAAGGTACAGTAATGTTTCTGCTTATTGCAATCCTGTCATTCAGTGAAATCCCAGACAGGTTCCCCCCTCCGCTGCCTCGCCAGCACCCATCCTCTTGCAGGAGGCTGCCAGCACTTCATTGCGATGCCTCTTGCCCGAGATCCCGCGGTGCCCTGGGTGGCCACAGAGGCTGTGGAGCAACCAGCAGGCCTGCGTCGTGCTCGGCCCCTCAGCTCCCACGGGCCGTGCTCTAGGGCCAGGGCTGACCAGCAAAAAGCAAGCGAGGCCACTTCAGCCTCCTCCTCTGCCTGTGCAGAGACTGTGCTACAGCACAGACTCCTTCAGTTTCCCCTACCTCCTGTCTAGCGTCCCCCTCCCTTTCCCTGTCTAGTATCCCCTTCCACCTACTGCTGGTGGGAAAGGCGAACATGTACAGTGATGCTACAGTTACTTTTTTTTTTTTTTTGGCTGTTTTAAAAGCTCTTGATGAAGTCTACAAAGTGGCTGAAACTGGTGAAAAAGCTGTAAAAAATGTAGCGAATCAAGCAACTGCCTGGGGGAAAAGCTTTGGACAGTGAAGATAATGTAACACTACTGAAATTTTTGTAAACAAGTTTCTATTACATGTACTCTTAAATAATAATAAAAAAAAACCTTACAATCTACTTGGCTGGTGCCTGTTTTTTAGGAATCCTTTGATTATACACACATTAAAGACCTTCAGTGTCACAATCTAGAAAGACTGGAGCGTTTCACGGAGCAAACTGCAGAAGTTGCGCTTGGCCACTAACGCAGCCGAACACCATCTCCGTTTGAGCTGCGGGATAGCTTGGAGTGGGCACAGTGTAAACCAAGGGCTTGCGAGCTGATCTGTCTCCTTTTGTCACTGAGCTGAAGCCATGTCCCCATGCATGCCGGTCAGTCGAAAGCTAAGCGTTTACAACATCCACTTCATGAGGTAAGCACCTGTGCATTTCTGTGATTGCACTCATAGCTCCAGCATTATCTGTAAAGCTGGAATTAGATACTGTGCAGATGAAGCCTCAGGTGTTTAATGTATGTATAACCACTGTAATACAGCACTGTGTTCATGCTCAAGCTAATGCTCACTACAAAGCAGACTGTATCGCTGTAAGCAGAGCACCCTACACCCCACTATACTGCTACCACTGCCTGAGCTAGATCACTGGTTGCAACTTTTGACAGCTCTGCACAGCAGTGTTGACGCACAACGCAGCACGCAGTGCGGCAATGGAGTAACTTACCATGTTTACTTGGCTCCTGTCAAACATGGGCAAAAAGATATGGTGCGTGATCATGTAGGAGCTGAACGAATGAGACCTGAGTAAGACTGGGCTGTACCACTGTGCATTCAAATGAACTTAAAACAAGGAGAAAGAAATGACCTGCTACCACAATCGGTAAGGCGTCAGATACTACAGTCTCACCAGTTAGCGCCAGA